ATACAGTTATATACACCTTGGCGTCCCCTATTTACCCTTAAGGTGTGCACATTTCCCAATCAATATTACAAGAATGTAGTCAAGCGATGTAAATCTCAGAACCTGGGAGTCCACCTTAGTCCTTTTCTCAATTGCATTGGAGTCCTGAAATTTGAAGGAAGGAATTTTATTATACATGAACTCAAAAATATGTATGTAATTTATTTACAAATGTATAATAAAAAAAAACAATTTACAATTAACATAATTATAATATAACAAAGAATAATTTTAAAAACTGAAAGACCAAGAACCCATTTGTCCAATGCAGTGACCATTTTCGTCAAACGTCGCCAAAGTTAACCTATTTAATTTATTACTCAAACACGGCAAGGTTGATGGATACATCGTGCTCATAATATAAGATGAATGCGGTTCTATAAAATAAAAAATATTTTCTCAGGTGTTAAAAATACAAAGCATTTTTTAACAATTCACCTATTTCTCCAACAACGTGATCTAGAGACTTATCACTCTCATCGATTTTCTTGGATTTCGTTTGTTTCATAAACGTAGTGATTAATGTGTCCATTAAACTAGCTTGCCTGGAAAAAATTTGCAATATTTTCGAAACTGTCGTTCCATTTTCGACGACATTGAACTGTATAAAAAGACACGGCAAACAATTTGGATTTTCTTCTCTGGAAGGTCTGGCGTATTCCCAACTGAATTCTTCGAATTTTAGTCCTAATAGAAGAACCTAAAATTGGTAATATGGGTATAAAGGACCACGCACTTTTCTTATGCTAACGAGAGTACCGTCTAAATGTCTGAATTTATATGTTAAATTACTTGATGTCCTCATTAAAAGTGTTCATGGGAACAATTTTACGGTACTTCCGTTTGCCTAAAAAAGTTCGTGGTCTTTTTTACCAAAGTCAAATTCATAAAAAAATAATATCGTTAACTTTAGCAACACTGTCTTTGTGTAAAAATGTTCACTATAAACAACTGTATGGGATGGACTTACATATTTAATGTCGTCCATAATATAGAGACCTTCTGCATTTATTGCCACTAAGATAGGTTGGTCCTGATGCGTCATTAGCGATGTTAAACCTGTCACAGGTTGTTCTATTTGACCTTCAAAATACGCACATCTAAAAATAATAATACACTTTTAATAAATTCTAATTACAACAAGTTGTATGAAAGGAAAAACATTTTTAAACTGTTCTTACAAAATAAAAATTGCTATAAGAATCGTTTTCGACCAGTCTGGTTCTGTTTTAATCCCTTAAAGTCCCTCTCTGCCTTATTTGATCCTTTGACACAGGCCTTTGAGACGTTTTTGTTTTGCTATAATTTCTTTAATATCTTCTGATATATCTTCGTTAGGAAATAAACTCTCTACTGACATTATTTATTTCATAGAAAATCAAATTTCTTCTGATATTTCTTCCTTACAAAAAAGGTGTCTACTGATATGACTTCTATGAAAAACGAAATGTTGAGGAGAAGATAAAAGATATGGAAAATAAAATAGATGAAATAGAGAAAACAAAAAAGGCCAAGGACGGTGAAATAAAGTGCCAGGAGGTGAAATCAAAGTTAAAATAGGAAGGAATTGTAAACTCTACTCGTGTTAAAGTTGAAGTTGAATAAATAGTCTGAAAATGAAAAGGCAGTAAATCTGATCATCGCCCTTCAATGACATGCTTTAGATGTTTCTCAGACTATATATGTGGAAAAGACCCATGATTTTGAACAACTTTAAAATTAATTAAATATGCGATATGGCCACAAACATTTAGAACATTTGTATCAATCACAGTTGATGAATGCAAACAGAAACCAGACCAGATGCTTCAAGAATACGAAGTAGATATCAGTTCCAATCAGTTCCAGAAAATATGATGGAATGTTTGGCTAACCAAGCAGGAATGTTTGACTACCAAACATTTGATGTCAAAATATTGGTCAATGTCTTATCCGCTCTGCTCATGAATATGAAGCGGCTTCTCAAGCTTTTGGTGGTTACAATAAGGTAAGGACTGTAAAGAAGGAAAAGACTGATGACTAATGAATTAATTACCCGTAAAATGGAAGCGACCAACAAAATTCCAAATATTTCTTCATCAACTTTCTATTGGTAGTGGCGTTTGGTATCCGTTTAAACTGTTCTAAAAGCTTGACCTCGGCTGAATTTTTGGAACTGATCGGTAACCAACTCCACGTTGAACTTTTTCTTACGTGTAATGGTAAATATTTCGCTTGCTTTTCTCTAAAAAAATGTATAGTATGTTCTTGTGGATTATAGGGACCCAATTCAATTCTAGCTTGAATACCGCCAAGCATAATATAGTGGACTTCTTCGCAAGGATATCGTCCTTGCAGTATGTTATGTCTGGCTTCTTCGTAGAGTAGTTCCAGAATTTTTTGATCCCTGAAAAAAAGTATATAGACATGTGATTTGATGTTATATCATTGCTTATAGGTTTATTGTAATTAGAAAAAAAATGACCAGAAAAAAAAGCAAAAACTACAAATAGATCTCACTTAATTTTTTCCTCCAGCTGCTGCGAAAAGAACACATTTCTTTGAAATATTAATCTAGGTTCATCTCTTTGCTGCTTGTGATATGAGGCATGACTATATTGCTCTAAGAGATGAGTCCAACGTTGTCTAATCTCATATGGCTTATGCAACGGTTTTAATTGAAGTTCTATAAAATAAAAATATTTATAATATCTCACAAACGAAAGATGATATCTAAAAATGCGTAAAACCTTTTCTAAGATAGGACGGGGTAACTAAAATTACATAAAAGAGAACTTACCCCCATCAACCCCCTTAGGCCCCCATCTACCCCAAATAAAAAAGTTTAAATAGCAAGTCCCTACTTGTGATACATCATTGAAAAGCCTATAAAAAATGCTATCCAACGGTAAAAATAATTGTACAGGGTGAATCAATAATTGTGAAACCTTGCTTTTAGAGGAAAATTTAATGAAAGTTTTGTTGTACTACAAATTTGTGAGTTTTCTTGTATGTCATTTTAGTTCTCGCTTCCTATCCTAGAAACGATTTTAGGCATTTTTTTGATATCTTTCGTTTGTAAGATATAGCCTATTGCAAGTTTTTAAATTGTTACACTGTATAATGCCGATATTGTAACCCCTCCCCCACTTAGTGGGTTTCGATCACAAGTGTATGTAACCACTTTAGGTGTACTACAAGGATCCAACTTAGACCCACTATTATTATTTATATTTATTTATGACATTTCATTTATTTTGGAATATTTACATCTTTTTTTAATAAATTTATACCTATTATTGAATCACCTAATGAACTTTTTTTTTATGCTCCAAATTGTCTAAAGCTACGGTTCGAGTAGCTCGACGTACTCGTACGGCAAAATCTGTCGCGTTTGAACAAAATAAAGAATTATTTTTAACTTTATTGTCTTTGCAACTTTCTGCTTTTCACTTGATAAAGCACAAGATGCTTCTTTACCATATTAATCAATATTTCATCCTCTTCAGAAGAAAATTTTGACAATATATTACTTCAATTATAACACAAAATATCCTAACCCCATTTCACTTGACAGTCTACTGCGTACGCTAAGCTGAACGAGTGCGTCCAGCAGACGGTGAGTTTTTCGTCGCGCACTGTTCTAACAAACTGTAGCTTTAGACAAAGAGCAGTGTACGTCGACCAATTACGTCGAAATCTCCGAGCAATTACTACGCTCGGAGGTCGAAATCTCCGAGCAATTACTACTAGAGGGAGTCTTCCCCCCTTCCCCGCGCTAAATTTTGTTAGCAACATCTACTCCCCCCGAGGGGGGAAATACCTCTTCTGTAATTGGCTTATTTAATCAGCGTTGCCAAGTTTGACAGTGAGGTTGTGACCTCGTTCTGACACTTTCTGACACATGTCAATTATTGATTTGTATTTTACGAAAAATATAATTATTTATAGCCTTGTAAGGGTTTTAAATGTATATTGAAGATTTATTATCTGTAATAATATTGTGAAAACATGCTTTATGTGTAAAAGACCTGTTGAAAATGCTTCTTCAAGATTATATCATAGGTAAGTACAAATACAACTTAATTACCAGAGGCGGTGCATTAGGCAATCACCTTTAATTTGCAATTGAACTTTCTTATTTTCGAAAAAGTAAAATTAAGAGGGAATAAATCCCAGCTAAGTTCGTCTTCATCTGTATCATAATGATTATAGTAAAGGTTTAACGGAGAGGTTAATTACTTATTATTATTTTAATATGACATCTTTGTAAAGTTTATTGTTATTTTTTTTAGGTTTCCTTTTCTTGATATGAGAAAGAAATACATGGTTCCAAAATTTAAGAATTCAACAAGTGACCACCTGAATACCTTTTTATGCTAATGAACATTTTTATTATAGACATCATGGGAGGAAAATATTAAAGAAAAATGCAATTTCGACGAAAGAAGTATAATAATCAATCCTGTCACTACTTCTACACTATATTCATCTGCTACTAAAATACTAAAACAGCAAGTAAGTAGAGAAACTTAAGTTTCTTTCAAAAAGAATGTTTAAGGAAAAAGGCATAGCCATTTTTTTGTTGACACTTTTTTTTAACTAATCTAAAAGACTAATTTTGTGTATTGGTTAAATTTTCATTTTTTGTACTTAATTTGTTTTAGGTTTAAACAAAATGAACTTCTAAGAATATCCCAAAAGAGCTAAGGATGGTTTTAAAATTCTTAAGAAAACTATTCAGAGCCAAAAACATAAAATAGTCTTCCTGTCCAAAATATAAATAGGTATAAATATTTAGATATTATGAGTGATTTTTTATTCTATAAATAGAACATAATTTGCTTCTAAATGACTACCTAATGAACTATATTATATACATAGTACAAAACTAAACAAGAATATCACATTATTCATGTTTTTTTTTTTAATTTCCTTAAAAACGTCCCAAAAAAATGTGAATATTTATTATTGGAGTTTACATCGTTATGCTAAAACAATACTAGAATAACTTAAATAATGTGGATTTTGACTATTTTGAGTTATGCAGATCATTATGATCTAAAAAAATGTTTGTCTGGTGCTATAGTCAGGTATAAAAACATTCATTTATTTAAACACAGTTGCAATGTACATTTTATTTAGTTTTTAAGTTAAAACCTCTTAGGACATCCTGATGTGAGATTAATTATTCTACATTTTTGTCTAAAAAGTTAGAACAATATACAAAGACTGTTATAACAAAAAAGAGATATACCTTTACTTAAACACACAATTAGTCAGTTTATTTGTACGGTAATTTAAAGCAGAAATCCAGAAAACTTTAAAAACGTGTTTAAATGTGTTTTTACTATAACAAGGATATAATTATTAAAAAAACTTGGCACATTAACATTGACGATAGGTTTTTATAATATATATTATACAAATCACAACGAACTACACAAAATGACATTATTAATAATTTAACAATAAAAAAGTTAAGTACAATGATGACATTAAAAGTTGAGTTTCTCGAAATAATTTTTTTAAATTGTCTCAGTACCTACCTAGTATTTTTCTAGCACAATGATATATGAATGTGCATTGTGTGATATCTTATATTTTAGGAATAAAATGATATATTTTTTTGCAGGTTTCTGTTAACAACGATTCCAAGAACTTTGGAAAATATTATTAAAACTGCCTTTGCAAAAATAATTCTCAATTAAGAGCTTCTGATCTAACATTAAATTTTTATTCTCCATAAGGTTACAGCTTCCTAAGAAGAAAGTTTAACAAGACTTACCATACCCAAAATATCAAAGTTTTACTAACCAATTGATGGTTCTACTGGTTTCCATAGGAAAATTCTCCTCGAAACTACTAAAAGAAAAGTGACAGAGGCAACCGAAGAAGGCAAAAAAGTCTTTTGCAAAACAAAAACTAGAAATTTGTTTAAGAATCTAATTATTGTTTGAAGATTGACCATTATTAATTTTTGATAACGATTTAAGATTATGAAGTTCTATTATGTATTTTATTTACTCTTTGATAACCTATGTTTAAATTTTTATTAGGACCAAAATAAATTATAATTTTCATTTCAACTACAAAAACCCTCATAATATTAAAAAGGGGGAAAACGTTAGATTAGTTAGGTTCAGGAATAAACTCTTTAAACTTTCATCTACTTAAAATGTGTTACTTTTAGAAGGTATGTTATTAACTTTTTATTTGTACTTGTATTAATTTATTTCATTTTATTATCTGTTATATCTTCAAATTAATTTTGATATTAATCTTATCTATTTATATATTTTTTATATTCACATATATGTTTTTTTCAGTGAAACAAACGTTTATTAGCTTATTAAATATAATGAATTCATGTTGTTTTATTATATGCTTGTATAAAAGATTACTTTTATTTCCTTTTAAAAATGAATTTCGAAAATAAAGCCGAAACGGTGAGTGAGAATAAAAAATTAGACGAAAGTGACGATATTTCATCTACATGCTCCTTTTTCTAGCCATCTACACCTGAGCCAGCAAGATTCGTCTTCCCTCCATCCTTAAATTCTCCAGATTTACAGAGAAAACGCCGTCCTCCTTAACTTATCCAGACCTTCTTTGACGGGGACTATACCACTACATTATTAGCTTTATTTGTTATCCCGAGCAATTTAAATACATTCGTAATTGCTCATTCTCACCTCTTCTCTTGTAGATTCCGTACTCAGTTTTCTTATTTTTAGTTACGTTTGCACTGCTCTTTTATTTTCACAGCTTTAATTCTATAATGCTGTAACGCTACAATATGGATCCATTTTTGTGGTTTATATTATTTAATGTTATTCGTAATTGACCAACCTATTATAATAATTAAATATTATTGTATTACAGGCCTGAAGATGTTCCTGTAAGGCCGAAACTAGTCGCTCCTGTATTTATTTATAATAAAATTGATTTTAAGGTTTTATTCTTCAATTGAAAAAATTAGACCTTTACAGTGATTTTGTTTCATTTCCTGCATTAAACACATATAAGACGGTATTCATTTTAAAAATAGTAAAATTAGCAAATTTTTTTAGTTTTTTTTTACAATTAAAACGTTTGGACAATGTGTGTTTTTATAGATAAATGATACGCCACTGAACAAGAAGGATGTTTACCTTCCCCCTTGTGCCCGCTTCCTCACTTCCTCCACAGATGTTGCTAACACAACAATCGCCTACAAACTCGTTTTCACGCTCCCTCTATTAGTAATTGCTCGGAGGTCGAAATCAATTTGAGTTTGATTTGGACCCACATACTTTGATATCAAAGTATGTGTTTGGACCCACATACTTTGATTTTCTAAGTATGTGTTTGGACCTCAGTTGGACGCACTCGTTTAGCTGAAATAAAATAAGGTTAGGATAATTTGTGTTATACTCAGAGTAAGTAAGTAGTAAAGAGAGGACAGTAAACAATGTTTGTGTCGCCATGATAATATGGTCGAGAATTCTAATTAGAGAGAAATAGATTAATATCTCTATCTCTTTGTTTGTATTTGTCAATTTTACAAAGCTTTTCTCAGACAATTATTCCAGTGTTTAATTTAAATTTGTTCGTGTTGTGGTGTTAAAAGTAATTATTATTAATATTATATTCATAACAGAAAAGTCATATTTTGTTTTCACTTCATTAAAACATTTTATTTTA